GAAGCCGAGTAAATAAAAGACACACATTTAAAGCGCCTCGCCCCAAAAGAAGAGAAGAAGTGTTTGACAAAGGATAAGCTGTGATGTTTAAAATGTCACCCTTTGAGGTATAACAATGTGACAGAAAGTTAAAAAATAACGATTGTATTGAAATAAAGAAGCTTAATTTCATACTTTCTTTACAATAAATGGATGACTTGCAAGGCTTTCTTTTGGCATGATGTATTCAACGAGAAATCAAGACGTAGACGTCAGAACATAATACATATAAGCACAACATTTACAATATCTTTCTCAGTTCAGCTATGAGGAGGTTCAGAGAGTCGTTTTGAAATAGAGATTTTATTTGTAATCATTGGTTTCACGTTACTCTATGCTCTCTGACCAGAGTCCTGTAGTGGTTGATCATCCACGACCACAACTACCTTTTAAGGCGCCTGTAGAGGCTAAGCCAACGCTTTAAGCCTCTGAGGATCCGCTTAGGTTCCTACCTTTATACCCACAGTTAATTGGCTCCTTCAGCGCCGATACTTAACAAGGCCTTTTAAAATAGAAGCACAAGTACAACAGTCTGACCTCCGAGCTAGTATCATCAAAACTCATAAAAAGCAGCTAATTTCAAGAGGTACAAAGGTCTCCTTTCTGCTTTCTTTGGTTCAGTGTTCATTTCGTCAACGAAAACGATGACGAAAAATGTTCGTCAACGACCTTTTTTACACGACTAAGACGAGACGATGACGAGATAAAAGTAGATCCTTGATAACGAAAATTTTGACGAAATGTATATTTAGTTTTCGTTGACAAGACGGGACTAAGGTGTTAATGGTGGACTATCGGACATTCAAAATGCAGGATATTTCCCCCCAATTGTCCGTCTTGTCTGTCAAAATGCATCTTACGTTTCTAACTTGCAATATCATTATTTCCGCTCTCTTCACTCCAGAAGAGCGATCTCCCTGTGTCTCTCTCTGTGAGGGGGCGGGGCCTAACGCTCTCCCTCTCTCTCTCTGTGCGGGGGCGGGGCCTAACGCTCTCCCTCTCTCTCTGTGTGTGGGGGCGGGGCCTAACATACACACTGCAGCGGCGTGCACACAGATTTTTAAGAGCAGTAGTACCGTTAAAAACCTTAACGATACCCATCCCTAGATATTACACAAGTAAAGTGTTAAGAGAGTGAAATGTTGCTTTACGAATTCCAACACTTGATGCTGTCACCTTGATTCCAATTTCAGAAACCTGTATTTGCTGAAACTGGACTAAAACGTTTTGAGTTTTCGCCGACTACAACTGGATATTTAGGACTAAAATGTGACTAAAACTAATTTTCGTCTAAAGACTAAATCAAAAATAGCTGCCAAAATGAACACTGCTTTGGTTGCATCTATGGACTTAGATGTCAATTTTCAATCTTATTTACAATGTAGGAGCCAAAATGCTTGTTTTACCATTGCTTAGTATTTCTATTATTATCTTCATGACACCACCTTTAATTCTTATTGGCTATCACTTTCGGCAATTGTCCCGTGGGTGTGGGTTATTGGTATTTAGGTCACCTGTTGGATGCCGGTTTCAGTGTATGACGTTGAGGAGAGGATGAATTGCTGTGTGGTCCGGAGTTACATATTGTTTTGCGACTTTATTAAACACTGAACTCTAACTGACTACGGACTCTTGTATTGAACGAGTCACAGCGAAGAGTACGTTTTAGCCTCTCAGCGGTTTAGGGAGTTTTTGCGGCTACGTATAAGATAAACATACATGTGAACGAAAAGGCTAACAACAAAAAAACACATTAAGAAAAACCCTCACACTTACAGACCAAGGGACAGGAAGTGTGAAGATGTCATTTCAGGGTTTTAGGACTCACTGTAGTACAGTGCTTCTCAAAGTGTGGTCCGCGGACCACCGGTGGTCCGTGAGCGCCCCCTAGTGGTCCGTGAGTATATTGGTAAAATGTCACATTTTAAATGTATTAATTAATTTCAGTTTTCCGCACTCTCGCGGGAATATCTCCGCAATGGAGCGAGGTTAAGTTTCACTTTCGATTGCATGATATAGCCCAGCATAACACCTTCATCACACATGTTGCCACTTGTTTGTACCATTTTCAGGTGATTTATAATCTGTTCTAGAAAAACGATGTGTTTTTTTGATATTTGTGGAGTCAGGTGGTCCGTGAGTGTTTTTTTATCGGTTAAGTGTCCTTGGTATGAAAAAGTTTGAGAAACACTGCTGTAGAATTTAACAGATTCAGAAGTGCAACACAATGTGTGTTTATGTTTGTCTGAATATCAAGAGTGTGACTTGTACAAACACGGTCTTCTGTTTAAAGAGAATCGTCGTTTAATGCTTTTAGAAACACAGCTTCAAAACAGGCCAACGATTCTTAAAGGCACGAGCTAGAGAGCTGATTGGCAGCCCAGGGATTCCTTGCTGTATATTTCATTATATTTCTAAGAATTCTCAGTTTCTCTGCATGTTAAAAAAGCGCAAGAAATAAATAAGTCACCAGCGCGTAACACTGTGCTTCTGAACGCAGCTCTGCAGGATCAAACAGCGTCTGATTCCATCAACTGAGCAGAGAAGCTAAAAGTAAACACAATCTTTACAGGCGGCAAGCGAACGCATCGAGACCACAAAGAACGCCCGAATGCAGCCTCGTGAGACTTTACAACGCCAGAAGAGAAAGAGTTCAGCTTCAGCTACAACACACAGCGTCAGTCATCAGCCGCAGACACCTCGGGAACTCCAGTGGAACACAAATGAGTCGGGATGAAAGAGGAGGGGGAACACGAGGCTTTTGGCGAGAAACCGAGTCGGTCAGATTGATTGTAAATGTCAGCTACGGTACAGAAACATGACGGGGAGAGCTACAGAGGAAAGAACAACAGGTACAAAGAGAGAGGAGCTGCTGAAGTATTGATGGCGGAGAAAGTGGGTCGATAAAACAACGAAGAGCATAAACTCCAGAGGTTGTGAATAAACTATAATGTGAATGAAATATGAATGATGAAAAGCAGGTGAAGTAAAACTAGAAAGTGCTATTTCAGAAGAAACGTATGGAGGTGTGAAACAAAGGGGTTTCAGGACGGTTCTGTCGGAGGGAGGAAATGAAAAACAGAAGGACTTTCTAAAGGCCTGGAGAATACAAGCTCCACACAACAAAGACGATCAGAGGCTTACGAGATGTGGGGATTATAAATGCAAAGGTTATCTTCAGGGTGGCAGCGGAGTAAAGGTCAGGGTCGAACTTTCAAAGGATCGTTTCCCAATTCGACCTTTTGGCGGCCGAAGTCGTTCAACCCTAGATATGAAATGAAAAGCATGCATTGTGTAATTTAAACATCGTGCATTTCAAAACCTTTACTTTCAATAGCTCAAGGCTCAAGGTTCTTTATTGGTCATACGCACATAGCTACAGAGGAGTTATGTCGATGACAATCTTAGGTCTTAGGTTGGCTTCTCCAACAGTGCAACACAATAATACAGAAAAACAGAAAAATATAGTGCAAGTAAATATTAAAAAGTAAATACAAAAAGAAAAATTGTTTAGACAAAGCAAGTTATTGGAATATGATATATTATACCAATGCTTCTCAAAGTGTGGTCCGCGGACCACTGGTGGTCCGTGAGCGCCCCCTAGTGGTCCGTGAGTATATTGGTAAAATTTCACATTTGATATAAATAAATACATTTAAGTTTTCCGCACTCTTACGGGAATATCTCCGCAAGGGAGCAAGCTTAAGTTTCACTTTCGATTGCATGATATAGCCCAGATAAACACCTTCGTCAAACATTTTGCCACTCGTTGGTACCATTTTCAGGCGATTTGTAATCTGTTCTAGAAAAACGATGTGAATTTGGATATCTGTGGAGTTAGGTGGTCCGCGAGTGTTTTTTTATTGGTCCTTGGTATGAAAATGTTTGAGAAGCACTGTATTAGATAATAGATAAATAATGACTAAGTAGCAGATGGATGTTATGGATGTTGTTTCAGCAGGTCAGGTGTTTAGCAGTCTTATTGCCTGTGGGATGAAGCTGTCTCTGAGTCCGGTGGTTGCTGTCCGGTTGCTGCGGTAACGCCTGCCAGACGGAACAGCTGATATTTAATAGATGACACGGCTTGTGCGAGGAACAGCTGACACTTGAAAACACTTGGGTTTTAATGATGCTGTCCAACAACATCATCTGGGACCCAAAGCATGCTCTGAGAGAGAATCTGAACTGCTACCATCTGATGGAGATTCAATAAAGTCCGACTGAAGCATCCTTTGTGCTCCAGTCGGTCCTCTCAGTGAACACAGAGCTACAGATCAGATGCACGCTGAAGGCTCTTTGAGCATCTCTCACTGATTGTGCTGGTATGTTCAATGTTTGTTGTTCATGTGTTGTGTCTTGGTATTTGTCTGTTGATGTTAAACGTGGAGCTGCTGTGATGCACGGAGCATTTCAGTCGTGATCTGAACATTAAAGTAATATCGTATCGTAACTGAGAAGTATTGCGTGGATTACATTAATGCTCGAACGGTTAGCTAAAGTTAGAGATGTTGATTGTTTAATGAATAAGTGAGATGGAAAAGCCACTAGAAAAAATGAAGTTTGCTTGAGAAGAAAAGTTGGTTTTGGGAAACATGTGTTATTTTGTGAAACTTCATTGGACAGAGAGAGGGGTCTACCCTTTTTTTAACACAACTCTTCTACACAGATCGTCATTTTGCAACACAGGTTTAACTTGTAGCCTATAGTCGAATTAAGTAGCACAAGGACAACATGACCACGAAAGAAAGTTGTGCATGTATCTGGGAATTTGCATGGGGAAGAGCAGCGGTAACTAAATCAATATCGAATTCTCTGAACAGATATTACGGCCAAATACAAATCCTATGAGGTCACGGGCGTCGAGTGCATCAGCTACAAAGACCAGTTGATTCAAACTGTTTCATATTCCAGTCTTAAGTCAAATGTTACATTATAAAAACACTTATTAAACTCTCACTGACCTGTTGTTGCTCTTGGCTTCCTGCGAGTACAGGAAGTGCTCCTGGTGGACGGTGATGTAATGCGTCGGGAGCTGCTCTGATTGGTTCTTGCTGATGGTCACAATTGGGTATCCCATCTGCAGAGTCCACCTGTCCATCATCTGTCCAATGTCGATCTCCAGACCCTCAGAACGCATGGCCTAGAAAAAATAAACATAACGAGGTATGAATAATAAATGAGCACTAACTTACACCAATTAATCAGTGGTTACATTATTTAAAAGGTCGTTAACCATCATCAATAACGTGGTATCGATAAAAAGCCCAAAGTCACTCCCTTAGAGAACGATGAGTAAATTAGGGCTCTGATTGGCTGGCAGCTCGTTAAAAAGGCTGTCTGACTTCCACTAACGAGGAAGAATCCAATCAAACCGACATTTTTTTCCCGGAAGCTTCCTATATGCAGGACGAACGAGGAAAACAACCTCGCCTCCACCTGTCAATCACGTCACCATGGCAACAGGACTTCTTCTCTGTCTCTTTCTCATCAAGCCGGTCTTAACGAGCGTCTTTCATTACCGGCGCTGCGTTACATTATGAATGGCCTCTATAAGTCTGGCTGCTTCATCTAAAGAGCTGCAGGTTTCAAACCCCCTGCTGTGAAGCAAGGCATTCACACTGCATGATGAGAGGTGCTGCTACCGAGAAGCCTTTGAGCCAAGGGAAGGGTTGATGGTTCAATTAACTTTTTATAATCTTTGTGTCTTAATGCTTTTGATGTATTCTGTAAAGCACTTTGAATTGCCATGTGCTGAAGAAATAAACGTGCATTTGGGTTAGGGTTTAGGTTACTAACCGTAACCCTGGTTCTTTAGCTATAGTTTGTTAATACCTTTGTCATTAATTACGAAGACGAATCCAATCAAACAGACTTTTTTTTTTCAGAGGAAGCTTTAATTTTGTATTTAAATGTCTTGTATTTCTATACCTGTCTTATCATATTAGTCAATTGGAGCTCTGATTGGCTGGCAGCTTGTTAGAAAAGCGGTTTTAGTATTACGGACATCACTGACGAATATTAATCCAATCATACTGTTTTTGTTTTTCCAGAAACATTCTTATTTAAGACCTGACTTTAGGTTACTAACCGTAACCCTGGTTCTTTAACTATATTTTGTTGTCAATACCTTAGTCATCACTTACGAAGAAGACAGAATTGTATACCTGCCTTATCATATTCCTGCTTGATTAGAGAAAACAATTAGTAAATTAGAGCTCTGATTGGCTGGCTGAAACATTCATATATTATGTACCTGTCTCATCGTATTTCAGCTTTTTCTCATTTGTATTTTCATGGCTTTTAATTGTTTTCTACGTATTCTAATTTAATTGTAATAATGTGTTTTTTTCAGTTTATTTTAATGCTTTTCTGTAAAGCACTTTGATTTGCCTTGTAGTTGAAATGAGCTGTGGAAATAAACTTGTCTTGGGATTAGGTTACTAACCGTAACCCTGGTTCTATTTTGATTCAAATGATTGTACAACTATTGAATCGTTAAGATCTACCACAACATTGGAATTGTAAAGTGCCATTTTTGTATACATATTTGTATCTGTTTACCCTCCATTCATAAGTAAATTATTTTGAGAGTGTTATTTATTTGACAAAGTGTGCGATCCTAATGTTTATTGAAGGGTTTCACCTGAGTCAGTTTGCTCCACAGGTCGTCTCGGGCTGCGTTTCCATACATGTGACTGAGCAGATAATCCTGGAAACAAAATAGACGAATACACAGAGATTAGAAACAGCATGTGACAGGAAATAGGGATGGGAATTTGAAAGCAAATGTATATTCGAATATTCGACTGGGTAATACAATTTTTTTTTTTACCCAATTTTTTTCCAATAATTTTTGGAAATACATACATGTTCAAATAAGTGTAGAAACCAAGTCGAATTTGTCAAATGTATTGAACTGGTGATCACAGTTTGACAGCTATAGGCCTACAGCTTTCATGTGCGAAGGCGATTCACAATCAGGCCAGCTGTAGAGAAGACCCTCTCAGCTGGAACGGAGGTTGCCAAGCAGCGCTTATTGTTGTTTAGGCTGGCCACTCATGTGTCGCGAGTGTTGACAGGGGGTGGGGGAGCACGCTCATGAACTGTTAGCGCCGGAACCTCGCAACGGCTGCGGAGGGCATTTGCGCCACATTTGGGCATAAGATGAGGTTTGAGTCTGCGTGATCTGCGTGTAGGGAGGGGCAGCAGCCATATCATTAGCTAGAGCTAGATCTGATGGATTTGGACATAAACGCGAGTGAAGTATAACCGGAAGCGAGAGAGAGAGATCAGCACCTGCAGCTCTGCCCGCTGTGAGGGACCGGTGAGTGGAGAAAAACACACCTTTAGACGTCAACTAACACATTTAGCTATGGCACTGTCGCATTGAATTTAATTATTCAATTTGATAATATGTAATCAACTTAGGCATCACTCCCAAAAAAAATAAAATATTCATAACTCATATTCGAATACATGAATAATTTCGATTCATCGATTAATCGTTCCCATCCCTAGAAATGACAGCTTTTAGTTTCCAGTGACTTTGGATTAAAATGTCTGTCGTACCAAACAACATTTTCTCTTTTGCACATGTTACACAAGAAGTGTAAATGTCATGCATATTAAAAAGAGGGATGTGCAAGTGACATGTCTGTTTCCTTTTGAAAACGTTTCAAAGCATATTTAAAAAGCGTTAAGTGTTGGAAATGATGTGTGTTTAAGTCTCAGTGACACGACATGTCAGGGGTGCAGTGAGTCTTATCACAAGAGAAGAAGACGTCTCAAAGAGAGTCTCAGTTCAAAAGACCTGGAAATCAGCAGCGACGTGTGTGTGTGTGTGTGTGTGTGTGTGTGTGTGTGTGTGTGTGTGTGTGTGTGTGTGTGTGTGTGTGTGTGTGTGTGTGTGTGTGTGTGTGTGTGTGTGTGTGTGTGTGTGTGTGTGTGTGTGTGTGGTTTCATCACTGCGGTGGGGTGTGGGTCATAAAAGCTCAGGGATGTTGGTAGGATTTATAATAAAACTGGAAAAAAGAAGTCAGAGATAACACGAGACACCTGCTGAGAAAAAAGCGCTTGTGTGTGTGTGTGTGTGTGTGTGTGTGTGTGTGTGTGTGTGTGTGTGTGTGTGTGTGTGTGTGTCAGCCAGTGTGTGTGTGGAGGTAGATAAGCTAAGAAGCTCTTTATATGATCAAGATGACACACGTGATAACAACTCAGAGTGTGTGAGACTCTCACCTTCACTTAATCTGATAAGAACAGAAATAAAACACCACACACACACACACACACACACACACACACACACACACACTGATCCGACACACACACAGGTTCAGCAGCATGATACACATAAACCGTCTGATAACAGGTGTTCTGTGAGATATGTGTGAGCGGTAATAATTTAATTAAAATAAATTGAGATATGAATGGAGCTGGAATGTGTTACTGGCTGGTATTGAGGAAAACTCTTCACACATCTAAGGATAATATGAATTAATATTGTATATTTATAATATCACATTTATTTTTGTATTTTATTATCTATATTTTCAGACTTTTACAAATATATATATTTTTAGCTCAGTTTAAATAAGTGTTACTAAAGCTTAATTATTGTTTAAATATCATAAATCATTAATGTGGTTAATGATAATGAGCCTGTTCAAGACAAAATATTCAGAAAGCTAAAATAAAATAAAATGTATTCAGGCAGCAAGTTGTGTGATGTAATACTTAACACATTGTGGCCTATATGGTCCTGTAAAACACACACACACACACACACACACACACACACACACACACACACACACACACACGCTCGATCAGCAGTGTTTTATATAGCATTGTGTTTTCACTGTGTTCCAGTTCACTGCCTGAAAAAAATCAGGACATAGTGTGTGTGAAAGTGTGTGTGTGTGTGCATGTGTGTGTAATGAACACAATCTATATTTAACCCACTTTCACCTTGCATCATATTACATCATTTTTATAATATCCAGCGACTGTAAGCCTGTTTTGTGAATTCAAATCATTTCTGTAAAATAAACTCCTAATTTAATGTTGCTGCTCCGATGAATTACCACAGAGATGTTTAGCGGATACACACAACTAAACGGTACATAATGCATTAACTGATGTTGTTATATCTGCTCTGTTCTCTAACACTCATTAGGCTCCCAAAGTTCCGGAACACAGTGACATCACTACGGAACCCTCGCGCTGCTATTGGCTAGTGCTCCAACACATTGTACGTGATAGGCTAAGGCGACACTACTAAAGTAGAGACACTACACACTGATATACACCTGAACATCAGCAGGAGAGGACTCTTTAAAGTAGAGACACTACATACTGATATACACCTGAACATCAGCAGGAGAGAACTCTTTAAAGTAGATACACTACATACTGATATACACCTGAACATCAGCAGGAGAGGACTCTTTAAAGTAGAGACACTACATACTGATATACACCTGAACATCAGCAGGAGAGGACTCTTTAAAGTAGAGACACTACATACTGATATACACCTGAACATCAGCAGGAGAGGACTCTTTAAAGTAGAGACACTACATACTGATATACACCTGAACATCAGCAGGAGAGGACTCTTTAAAGTAGAGACACTACATACTGATATACACCTGAACATCAGCAGGAGAGAACTCTTTAAAGTAGAGACACTACATACTGATATACACCTGAACATCAGCAGGAGAGGACTCTTTAAAGTAGAGACACTACATACTGATATACACCTGAACATCAGCAGGAGAGGACTCTTTAAAGTAGAGACACTACATACTGATATACACCTGAACGTCAGCAGGAGAGGACTCTTTAAAGTAGAGACACACATACTGATACACCTGAACATCAGCAGGAGAGGACTCTTTAAAGTAGAGACACTACAAACTGATATACACCTGAACATCAGCAGGAGAGGACTCTTTAAAGTAGAGACACTACATACTGATATACACCTGAACATCAGCAGGAGAGGACTCTTTAAAGTAGAGACACTACATACTGATATACACCTGAACATCAGCAGGAGAGGACTCTTTAAAGTAGAGACACTACATACTGATATACACCTGAACATCAGGAGGAGAGGACTCTTTAAAGTAGAGACACTACATACTGATATATACCTGAACATAAGCAGGAGAGGACTCTTTAAAGTAGAGACACTACATACTGATATACACCTGATCATCAGCAGGAGAGGACTCTTTAAAGTAGAGACACTACATACTGATATACACCTGAACATCAGCAGGAGAGGACTCTTTAAAGTAGAGACACTACACACTGATATACACCTGAACATCAGCAGGAGAGGACTCTTTAAAGTAGAGACACTACATACTGATATACACCTGAACATCAGCAGGAGAGGACTCTTTAAAGTAGAGACACTACATACTGATATACACCTGATCATCAGCAGGAGAGGACTCTTTAAAGTAGAGACACTACATACTGATATACACCTGAACATCAGCAGGAGAGGACTCTTTAAAGTAGAGACACTACATACTGATATACACCTAAACATCAGCAGGAGGGGACTCTTTAAAGTAGAGACACTACATACTGATATACACCTGAACATCAGCAGGAGAGGACTCTTTAAAGTAGAGACACTACATACTGATATACACCTGAACATCAGCAGGAGAGGACTCTTTAAAGTAGAGACACTACAAACTGATATACACCTGGACATCAGCAGGAGAGGACTCTTTAAAGTAGAGACACTACAGACTGATATACACCTGAACATCAGCAGGAGAGGACTCTTTAAAGTAGAGACACTACATACTGATATACACCTGACATCAGCAGGAGAGGACTCTTTAAAGTAGAGACACTACATACTGATATACACCTGAACATCAGGAGGAGAGGACTCTTTAAAGTAGAGACACTACATACTGATATACACCTGAACATCAGCAGGAGAGGACTCTTTAAAGTAGAGACACTACATACTGATATACACCTGATCATCAGCAGGAGAGGACTCTTTAAAGTAGAGACACTACATACTGATATACACCTGAACATCAGCAGGAGAAGACTCTTTAAAGTAGAGACACACATACTGATATATACACCTGAACATCAGCAGGAGAGGACTCTTTAAAGTAGAGACACTACATACTGATATACACCTGAACATCAGCAGGAGAGGACTCTTTAAAGTAGAGACACTACATACTGATATACACCTGAACATCAGCAGGAGAGGACTCTTTAAAGTAGAGACACTACATACTGATATACACCTGAACATCAGCAGGAGAGGACTCTTTAAAGTAGAGACACTACATACTGATATACACCTGAACATCAGCAGGAGAGGACTCTTTAAAGTAGAGACACTACATACTGATATACACCTGAACATCAGCAGGAGAGGACTCTTTAAAGCAGCTTTTTGAACATTAAAGCATATGTCACCAATAAAAAAAAATGTGTCACCTTAAATGACTTGTTGCTTCCTCTCTGAGTCGTGTTTCATCATTTTCAAACCCAGTGCGGGTTTTCTGCAGTTTATTGGACTTTAAACTTCCCTAAGTAAACCCAAATTGAGATGAAAACTGTATTTCAAAGGAGCTGATGGTACCTCATTAAACTGGAATTGGATTTTCTCATATTCTGCAAACATTACTAAACCTCTGAAAACACTTCCTGCAGCAGGATTTACATTTTATGATTTCTATGAAAAGAGGGTTTAGATTAGATGAGCGTAAAGTGGGAAATGAAATCAGGTTTCCAGCTGAAAGTGTGAAAAGCAGTAAAGTGCATGTTAATGTACATATACTGTTTATAGTGATATATATAGAAATGTATTCATTGGGATAAACCCCTTGAGATGCACCATCTCGTTTTCAAGGGGGTCCCGACAATAGCAACAACTTACAGACATACATAAACAAAAAGACAAAAATCAAAACATGACACACAAGACAAACCACATACAGTCTGTTGAGTAAAATTCAAGCAATGCACACAATCATTACAATTTGAGACAGTCGAGCAAATCAGTTTCATCAATATCAGTTTCATCAATATCAGTTATAACAAGTACAGACCAGTTGAAAGTGAGATAACAATGCATGTTTAAATAAACCCAATGATGCAAAAGATCTAATAGCAGCAGGTAAAGTATTCCAGTCAGTTGGGGCTTTGAACATGAACGCTCTTCTGCCAATACATTTTTTGGCAGAGGGGACGGAGAAATAAATCTGAACAGAATGTCTAACTTGATGAATTGGTGAGTAGGGTACGAAATACTGCTTTAAATAAGGGGGATAGTTAAGATACATGCATTTAAATATCAGCTGGAGCCAATGCGTGTGTCTTCTTACATTTAAAGAAGGCCATTTAAGTTGGTTATACATTGTGCAGTGATGTGTACGAAAAGGACAACCAAGAACAAATCTGCATAGTCTGTTGTAGGCTATGTTGAGTGGAGCAAGATCTGATTTATGTGCATTTTGGTAGACACATCACAATAGTCCATAATCGGAAGAATAAGTTGAGAAGCAATTCTCTTTCGGACACTGAGCGTAAAACAATTGCGAGAGCGGTGTAAAACACTGATTCCGTAATTGACTTTTTGTATTACATGCTTTATATGTAGTTTAAATGAAAGTTCAGAGTCTAGCCATACACCAAGATATTTAAAGCTATCAACTTTATGCAGAGAAGTGCCATCCTTACATGTTATTACTACATTAGGTTTGGATTGAGCTTCTGCCTGGTACCAAAGACCATGGTATAAGATGTTGTTTTGTTAAGCAGTAGTTTATTGTGTGGTAGCCAGTCCTGTAAGATATTAAATATCATATTATGAAATATATATAATTCAAAAGCAAGAGGTGGATATAAATAAAGAAGATCTACATTATTAACATACAGTACATATCCTGGAAACCTCATGGTCTTTTTCAAACATATTTACACTATCTTCTTTTAAATTTGGATCATTTGGATCAATTTAACTCGTTGCAGTGCAGAAAAAAGCTTTGAATTGCATTTAGAAAGCGCAAAAACTAAAATATGATTATATTAATATAGAAAATGTGGAAACTTTATTGGGTCTGATAGAAGGGGTAACTAGTATTTATGATTATAGTATTTAGAAAATACTTGCTACAGTCATAAATACTGTAGTAGCAGTAAAACTTGCCCCTAAAATCCATTTTGTCACTTATATCTGTATACTCAGGAAGCTCCAAACGGTCAGGGTTTAGCCAAAATATTACCACACACACACACACACACACACACACACACACACACACACACACACACACACACACACACACACACACACACACACACACACACACACACACACACACACACACACACACACACACACACACACACACACACACACACACACACACACACACACACACACACACACACACAGAGAGCTTGGCGACTGAGCGATATCTGAACCTCTGTATGCACAGCTGGAGGATGTTTACTTACATTGAGTCCTCTCTGAAACAGCGTCTGTCCCATCACGTTAGCCAGCATCCGGATCAACGCCGCCCCCTGCAGGGAGCGAAGGAAACACACTTTAAAACACAACAACAAACAAACTCATTGGGGATCGCTGCAGCTGTTGTGTCGGATTGGAAACATGTCTTGATTTAGGAGTAAACCCTAGCATGGAGAAACACACTTTTAAATCACAAAGAAACTTGCTTTTAATTATTATGTGACACTCTGAATGTGAATTTTAGCTGTTAGCCACGAGCTAGCTCAGCCAATTACAAAAGAAATGCCTAAAAGTTTACTGGCTAGCTAGCTTGTTAGCTTGGAAAACATTGGAAACATGTCTTGACTTGGGAGTAAACCCTAGCATGGAGAAACACACTTTCATAAACAATACCTCACTAAAATATGCTTTAAATTATTAACGCAACACTACTCAGTTTGTTTGGGATTGTTTTTATTATTTCTCCTGTTGCATGGACTCGCAAAATATCTTGACTCTTGAGGTAACCCTAACCCCAGAACAAGAAAGACACTTAAATTAGTATGTGACATTCCTCCATTAATTTATTTGGGAATGTTTAAAAACGTGTTTAAACTCTGAATGTGATGTTTTGTTTTTCAGTTTTTAGCAATTACACAAAACTGCCTAAAAGCTGACTGGCTACGTAGCTTGTTAGCTTGCAAGTTAAATAAACTAGTCCTTAATTTAAATGTATGCCATTAGAAGGTATCTCGAATCCTGATCCTAATCCCGATTCAGAATTAATTTAATACATTTGGATGACACCTACTTTTTTGTATGCGATCCAGTCAAAGACACGGTCGATATCCGCCGCCTGCGCCACTTCCTGGGAGATCGGGTGGGAGGAGTTAAGGCCGTCCAATAGCATCACCTCATGGAGGACATCCGTCAGGAAGCGCTGTTTCTCCTGAAAACACACAAACAGGGACTTTGTGTTGACATTCATTCTCTGGAGGCTAACACTTTACATTTCTAACCTCATTTTAACCATAACAACGGAGCCAGATGTTGTCCCCTTATGGTTGGTTAGTCCCTGCAACGTTGGTGTGTGAGCTGGTCATTGGTCCCCACAATGTTGGTGATAATATCTGAATTTTTTTGAGTTTTTCTTCCAGTTCAGCCTTACATTAAATCCACACAAAGACAGGGAATCTAGTGCATATGTGTGTCTCCATATAGTAGCTGTTAAAATGCAATTATGGTCATATCCCATCAAATCCCAGGTCAAATATAATTTATAAAAAAAAATGTTTCCCTCTGTATAGTTTATGTTCTGATTTTATGTAATGCGTCTTTGAGCATTAGGAAAAGCGCAATACAAATCCCATGTATTATTATTATTATTATTATTAAATGAAGGTTAGAGGGATATATCGTCTTTAGTGATCGTAATGTTATGTTAAATAATCTTGTGTCTTGTCTTAAAACTCGTCATTGTTGATGTTGCATGTGGAGCTGCTGGGATGCAAGGAACATTTCAGACTTGATCTGACAGTAAATGATTATCATATCGTACATGCACAACCATTGCAAAGAAGCAGTATTTGGCAAACAAAATCTTAGATCTCAGGCACCTTCCAACCATTAACCTATAAAGTAAAAATATGGGTCTAAAATGTTAGATATTAGTGTTTAAATACAGAAAATAAGAAACAAATGAACAGATTGTTGTCCCCATAATGTAAAGCATATTAAAAACATGCTTTACCCTAAAAAAGGGACCTGGATATCTGTCTCCATATTTTGGAGCTGGTTGAAACAGTATTGGTTTTCACAAAGTGATTGAAAATCTTCACAACATATTTTGGCCGATGGTGTTTGATTTTCTTCCAGCTCAGATTTTGCCAGACTTTAATTAAGTATTTAATTATTTTTGGCAAAAAAAAGTTGGTCAACAAACTGTCATTTAGCGGAGCAGTTGGTAAACAGAGGTTTAGATGTGTAATTAAACGGGTTAATCCTTATTGTAATCTTGTTCTCCCATTTATTCCCATGATTATTTCCCTAACCGTTTTCCTCATTGTTTCCGATCTTTTCCTTACTTTTTCCTTTATATTTCCTGTTCTACTTCCTCTTTTTTCCCGTCTTACTGCCTCCGCTTCTTCTCATTACTCCTTTTCATACTTCCTCTCCTCTCCTCTCTTGGTTCAGGTTTCTAATATACATCGGCAAACATGTCGAGCTGTAACGAGCTCGGTCTAAATTACCCCCGGGATCAGGCTAAATCCGGAGAAGCACAGCTATGTCTAATTCATGCATTACAATGTTTACTATGGAGATTTGGTTTTAATGAACCTCTATCTAGTTAAGCAATAGAATTGTAGACTTATTAACTTCTAGTCGGTAATGAACTGACTGAACAGGAACTTTTTTTTAAATTACGTTTCTGCTGGGTTCTGGCTAATTCCTCGTAATTCGTGGCTCAAAATTGTTTATTAAGTAGATTTGATTTTAATGAATATAAATCCAGTCAAACAAAAGTTTCACTGCAATTTAAATTAGTTATGAACAGTAGAAATCAGGGTTTAGATTTTACACTGTCTGCTGGGATCGGGCTACTTCTTGGCAGGTGGGTGGACTTGTTGAATATAAATTAGTCCGAAATTAAGAATACACATAGAAAATATTTTTAACAGTATCTTCTGGGATCTGGTTAATTCTTGGTCCGGTGTGGCTCATGTTGTTTATCAAGACTTTATTTTGATGCGATATAACAGTTTTTAATACAACATTTCCATATGTTACTGGGTCAGTTGGGATCGGGTTGCTTCTTGATAGGTGGGTGGACTTTCAAGAAATAGGTCTTGTTGAATAATATACTTTAAATTAATCTGAAATTAAGAATACACATAGAAAATGTTAAGAATCTGGCTAATTCTTGGTCCAGTGGGGCTCAACTTGTTTATCAAGATTAGATTTTCTTGCGATATTAGACTTTTTATGAACATTAAAATGCAAGATTTAGATGTTACATGTCTGTTGGATCATGCTACTTCTTGGAAGATGAGTTGACTTGCATGAAATGGATTTTGTTGAACTGACTTGAAGAAGAAATGTTTAAAGTACTATTCTGTGTTTCAGAAACTTCAGCATGTCCACATGTTGAGGGTTTTTAAGGTAGTCTGAAGACGTTCTCCCAGTAGTAAAAGTACAGCTGAATTTCCTAATTTAAAACCACATGTTTATTAGGCTCTGTTTTTTACAGCAGGACACACTGCCTAATTGAGCCCGATGTATTCCTCAAATTCGTTCCCTTTTTCACATTTGTATCTGTCTCTGCTTTATATTGTCCTGTTTGTCCATGCTAAGTCATTGTGTTTGAATTAGATCAGCCATTCTCCCTGTGACACAGTACTGGTCTGGGCAGTCTAATGTATTTTACATAAAAACAAGTATATTGTGGAGCTCTCTTGTACTCCGCTCACTGAACACACACCATTAGCATTAGAGAGTGTCTGCTTCTCACTTCTAATGGGCCATTGGTGTGTCATTGTCCCGCTCAGACCTGGCATTAAGATGCGTCTCAGCATGCGTCTCCAGAGACCACTTGTGTTCAGATCCCCCTCTATATGCAAATAAACACACAGTACATTTGTGCATGCAGAGAATGCTGAGAGTTGTTTCTAACCAGTGGAGGCGGCAATGCAAATCAAAAGCGTGCAACTGTGAGGTTTGTCGTGATACAGCCAAGACAATGGGTGGACAATAATAATCAGTCCAGTGTCGTAATGGTTTCTGAGAGCCTGGCAGTATAAGAATAAAGTCAGGAAACTCGTCATGTTGTGAATTGTATTTATCATGTGCTTTTCAGACTGGATGGTAGAGAATCCGCTTTAGGATCTTGATCTTGTCGCCCTGGGGTTTAAGTAGATGGAAATGTCTACTGGCTGAATAAATGCAAATTGGCCCTTCAATAGTGCTTTTCTCTGTCAGACAGTTTATAGATTCTTTATCTTCACAGTTATCTGTATATTTGTCTTACTCTGTAATGCTTGTTTATTTCTATTTCTTTTAGATGTTTATATGTTAGAATGGTTTCTTTCTACTCTTTTAATGCCTTGTTTTGTTTTAGGCTGCTGCAACAATTTGTTTTTGCAAATTGGGATTAATAAAGTACTTCTTATCTTATCTTAACCAGCAAGGCAACAGTTAACTGAAAAGTCCAGTGTCAAACAAGCAATATAGAAGCAATACCTGGCAGACCTCAACGACACAGGAAGACGTCTTTTTGGTGCATAAGCCCAGGGCCGCCTTAATGCACCAAAAACCAACATACTAGTGTTCTGTGACCATTTCAGTACTGGAATCGTAAACACATCATTTGAGATGCCGTAATTAAAGGTTTTGGAGACCTGGTACACCTGTGCTCCACACTTCAATTTGAAGAAGCACCCGTCTTTGTTACATAAAATACCCAAACCATGAAGAAAAAACTTCTTGAATATTGTCTGTGAATGTGAAACTAAAAGCTGCCACTCTGCTGCAGAACAACAGGGCAGACAGAGTCTCTCAGAGCCTCTCAGCTGTGAATATGATTCACTGTGACCTTGGAAGATAATCCGGGCTCTTCAAAGGCACTTTGTTAAGAACATCATAAAGGCTTTTTCGGAAGCACTGCTAAAGCCTTGTTTTGTTTTAGGCTGCTGCAACAATTTGTTTTTGCAAATTGGGATTAATAAAGTACTTCTAATCTTATCTTAACCACCAAGGCAACAGTTAACTGAAAAGTCCAGTGTCAAACAAGCAATATAGAAGCAACACCTGGCAGACCTCAACGACACAGGAAGACGTCTTTTTGGTGCATAAGCCCAGGGCCGCCTTAATGCACGGGCTGACCTGGGCTGAAGCCCAGGGGCCTACGGAGATCGGGGGCCTATCATGAGCCAATAACAAATTGTTTTATTTTAATTTTAAATAAACAAAGTCTTGGCTTTTAGACTATGAAACTTTTATTTCTAAAATCACACGATAAATAAATGTTTGAAGCTTGTAAAGGAAAGAAGACAGCTCTCCTTCGTCACTCTGCTGTTCCGCAGCGCCGCCCCCCCCTCCCTCCGGCTGACATTATGAATGTAAGAGTATAGTAATCATAGATAACACGGCAGGGTCCGTTACAGTTTGTTTTCATCTGATTTCAATTAAACAAAGTCTTGGCTTTCAGAATATTAAACTTGTTTCGGCAAATTCAGAAGATAAATACAGCTTTGAAGCTTCGGCATAATTACAAGCAGAGAACGGAGTAACTTAACGTCACAACAGGCACAACAACAGCCGGTGTGTCTCCTGAGTGTTTTCCCCGGGAAACAAACACAAACACACACACGTATACACACACACACACACACACACACACACACACACACACACACACACACACACACACACACACACACACACACACACACACACACACACACACACACTCCGTAACAGTCAGTGGGCACCACTTAACAGCCAATCAGAATGAGAATATGTTTCACATGTGACGTATCAAATTGCGAGTGATTGAGTGACAGATGAAGGTTGTTTAGGTTGAACATTTCGGAGAAGAAAAAAAAGAAAAAAGTTTGAGAGTGGCGCTCGGAAAAGGAAACCTAACACTGATGTCAATTGAGCATGACATTCTTCGTGAGATGGATTTTAAGAACATCATAAAGGCTTTTTCGGAAGCACTGCTAAAGAGGTAAGGCAATGCGGCACTATTCATTGATCCCAGTAGCCTGCAGGTTTAAATGTGCATTGTTTTACATAACTAGGTTTGTGTTAATCCACCGGAGATAATGATCATTATCACCTACTGATACCTGGCTTTGAGGCCATATGTTGCTGTTCATGGTGCTGAATTAGTGGTGTGTGTGTGTGTGTGTGTGTGTGTGTGTGTGTGTGTGTGTGTGTGTGTGTGTGTGT